TGTTACATGCATGCAGAGATGCCTTCTCCAAGGTTGCCACCTAGCTGCACCTACTCTGCAAGAGTGACACTTATCATGCATGCATGCACCAGCTACCACCTCACTTACTCTATGAATTTTTTTTGCCTATAAATACAGAGCATAACATACTTCTCTCACACCCACAATCGTCTCACTCTCTGCTACAAAGTCTTTCATAATCTCTTACACTTTCTAAGTCTTTCATAATCTCAGGCATTTTCAACAATGGCTCTTCTCACAATGGACGATTCTTACAGAGGCACAAGGGATAATATTACCGCATTTGTAAGTTTCTATTTTGGTTATACATTTTTTATACTTCAGGTAATGCTTTGTTCATCTTACTTAATCTTACACCTTTTACATTATTAACTCAGGATACCAAAAGATTCAGAATCCGGTCTCACAACTACCTGGCTCCTGACCCATTTATCGTACCGTATCTGGAATACGCAGGTTTCAGACATGTTATAAAGATCTCCAACTGCACAATTGATTCGAAGTTCATTCTTGCAATGTTGGAAAGGTGGAGACCAGAGACCCATACATTTCACCTACCAATAGGTGAATGTACCGTCACGCTAGAGGATGTGTACATGTTATTGGGTCTCCCTATCGACGGTAAGGTTGTTAACGGGTCGGTTCAACAACCCAATTCTCAGTGTGAAGAATTGTTGGGCAGGGATATGGTTGAAGGTGGTGGTGCGAGAGGTCAGGGTATACTACTCACTAAGCTTAAAAATCATTATGCAAGTTTGGAATTAAACGAAAATTCCTCCGAGCAAGACAGGGTAGTAAAAGCCAGAACTTATCTAATGATACTATTTGGAACCTTTTTATTTCCCGAAAGTACGGGAAATAGTGTAAATTTTATGTATTTACATTTACTTAGAGATTTTGAAAAAACAAGAAAGTATAGTTGGAGTTCTGCAGTTTTAGCCCACCTATACAGTTCCTTGTGCAAAAATGCAGTCAAGGAAAAATGTACATTTTATGGCTGCGCTTTTTTACTACAAGCCTGGGGTTGGTGGAGGATGGAGTCCTTAAATCCCGTCAATAACAACACTTTCGTTTTCCCGTACGCAACAAAGTAAGTCATCAAGTTATATCATTTATTACTATTCATCTCTTCACCAAATATATGCTAAAAATAAAATGTTTTTCATTTCCTTTAGGTATTGCGTGAGGGGTATGGATTACGGCAAGAATCCAAGATTCAATGTCGCACTATACCGCAATATGTTGGATCACCTAGGCCCGGATGATGTACGTCATACCTTTCAACTTTTCTTCATTTAAATTACTTATATATTACGTTTTCATTAACTTGATTTAATTTTTTTCGCAGTTTGTCTGGAGACCATATTTGGGTTTGGGCCATGAACCAAACCCCGGGGATGCAGCAATTTGAAGCGCCAAGACTGCAATCATACGGTTCAATGTTGTGGAGATGCACCACAACGACCGTGTGAAGATGCAGTTCGGAATGCATCAAGAGATACCAAGTGATCCGACTTGTTTGTCCCCGTGGCATCTCAAAAGGGTCGACGCCCAGTAGGGTCTTACCAACTGGAAAGACTTTGCTCCAGAATGGTGTAAGATGTGGCAGAGGCGTCACCGACATGTCTTGCAATTCCCGGTTTTCCTCAATCATGATAATATGCGGCACACAGATCAGTATTTATCTTGGTACATGTCAGTTAGTAACCCTGAAATGCACATGTCTCATCCAAGGTATTTGGTTGACCCACGAACACAATAGGCACAACCCTCGTTTCCCCAACAACAAACCCAACACACATCAACCTCCCACCAACCCCCCAGAAGAAACAGAACCACAAACACCCAACCACAGTCCCCACCACAACACAATTACACCCAAATGCCCCACAATCAACCACAATCACCACCTCAGTACCAATACCCCCATATGCCTCACACCCAACCGCAATACCAATCACAATACCAACACACCCGCATACCCCACACACAATTTCAGTCTTCTGTATATCTTAATATGGGCCCCTCAACATCCAGCCTTAGCCCTGATCTGGGAATGTCGGAAGATTACGAACCAACCGACCCAACTTACCATCAACCACAGTATCACCAAACCACCCAACATCCTCAATACCAAACACACCAAGATCCATTTCCTTTCTACCCCCTTACTCAGACGATCAATGCTACAGACCCACTATAGAACCCCACCCACCGCCAACACGACCAAACTTTGAGGGTATGGGTAACCGACTGTACCAAAGCGGATCTTCTAGATATGGAGATCTGACTGATTTCATGGATACATAACGCATTGACTTCGCTGGGCCATCGACCCTGCCACAGCAGGAAACGCGACGACACCCAGTAAGGGAAAGGCGAGAACGGGGATGCGGAACCGGGGGTCATTACAGGGTTCCAGGGGATCACTGATTTATCTGTTTTTTTATCTGTTTTTTTAATGTAATACATATGGGTGTAATCATTTTTTTAATAAAAAGTCAATTTTGTTGATCCTGTATCGAATACGCAACGCACCGGACTGGAAATAAAAATGCGAAATTTGCCCTAGAATTGCACTAAGGCGCCATCTCACTTGGCTTAGGGCATGCCCTAAGCACCTAGGCGCCAAGTGAGATGGCGCCTCCCCTTAAATAATGGGTGTAGGCGCCAAGTGAGATGGTTCCTCCTTTGGGGAGTCATCTGAAATATGATTATTTGCGTAATTTTTTCCAAAACGTGGTTATTTGCAAAAAAAAATTTTAATACATAGTTATTCAAAAAAAAATTCAAAGAAACATGGAACCAATAAGATGGAGAAGGAAAAAAAAAAGAAAATTTTGAAATTTAAAAATAAAGATTTTAATTTTTAAATAAAAGTTGATCAAAATAAAATAGATATTTAGCTGAAAGTGACCCGAAAAATAGACTTTGATCAATTTCGATTGAAAAACCAAATACATCAAAATTTCTCTAGAATAAATTTTATATCTTTAGAATTGCTTTTTCTCTTCCAAATGTCAAAACCTAAAGAAACCTAACATGAACTTTAGGTGGTTTGTTAGTCAAAGAGAAACCAAAATAATTGGAACATGTGAGACAATATGCTCAATGTTTTTGTCCTCTAAACTTAACGGCAATGTTGTTTGTTCCCGTTATAAAATTTCCCTCTTTCATTTCTCTTCTTCAATTTCTATATTTATCATGCACACTCCTCCCAATATCTTGAAGCCTAACATTCCTTTCTCTAATTTCAGCATCTCATATTTATTATTATAAAATTCCCATTTCAATATTTTCTATTTTAATTCTCATGATTAATATGTTTCCTCCTTTTCAACTTATTATGTCTACTCAATTAAACTGGTTTTTTTTTTTTTGCCTTAGCTTATTTATTCACATTGAATTTCTTTATTGGTTTTGTGATGGATAAAGAGCTGAAAATGGTTTTATTTAAATGATAAAAATCAATATTAAAATGAAAATGTTTTATGTGTATTCTTGTTTGTTCATTGTTGATATTGAATTTGGAGTCAGACCCTATTTAGATAAACAACTTACTAAAGGGCTTATATCATATAACCACAATTGATACTAATAAGTGTTTATATGAATCATGTAGTCAATGTGGTTGGTGAATTTTAAGTCATTGGATGACCATGTGATTGTGTGAATGTAGGGAATTTAAATTCGCAAACATTATATTTGGCTTGTCACTTTAATAATATAGTATCTGTTTCTGGAAAAAATTTGTTTAGATTGTATATGTTCATGCACTGTCTCTTATGAAATTCCACACTCCAAAGAAAATGTTGAATTCCCAGTTTTAATCACCCCACCCAAGTAATAAGAATTTTTGAAAAAGGCTCCCATAAGATAATTAGCAGAGTTATGCTCCCAGTTTTAATTCCCAGTTTTAATCATAGGATTCATTCCAGTCCATGGCAACTTTAGAGTGAAAGGCTCCCATAAGATGACACTGAAACTATAAACATCACACCTATGCATATGAAATGATAATTAGCAGAGTTATGCTCAAGAGACACAACTATTGATATAATTTAGTATATAAATGACTCTAGATGTTCAGAAATTTTGGCATCATCCTTCTCAAACGGCAGTCACCTTGTCTACGAAGCATTAAACATTTTATCATGAAAGACATGGAAAAATGAAATTCCATACTTATTTAAGAATATTGAGTCCAGACAGCTGTTGATTACCTGATTTAGAACATAATCAGAATGTCGTCTGCCCAAATGGGGAGTCCTTTTAAAGGAGCTTTGTTGATACCATCTGCTCTTTCCTGTAAAACATTTGAAAAATCTTTTACAATCACAACTCAATGCCTGATATTGCATTGCCCAGGAAAAGGATAGCCAGATAAATACAAAGAAAGAATGAGATATGGTTAAATATGACATACGTTGAATGATCCAAAGCCACATATATCTAGAATACTGATTGATCTTCCAGTACGTATTTTTCCAACAACAAGTGATTTATTTATTTGTTCAACCAACCAATCAAAAAGGCATGAATGTATAGACTTTGCCAAAGCATCTCTTGCGTCAATTGCCTATAAGACAAAATAGAATATGTTAGATATTGACAAAGATCATATTTATCATTTTGCTTTCATTTCATTTGGAAATTACAAAGTGACTGAGGTCTAATCACTCTATTCAGTAGTATAAGCACTATATTTAGTGACCATTACAACACGATATCATGACTTAGAATATAGAATATATAAAGCTATAAACTGTCACCACCCCAACCCAAAACATATGTTAAGTTGTTCAGTATTCAAACTCTCAGAGGTAGCCATAATATTTTTTTGTAAGTATAATCAGTTATTTCAAAATTATTCAAAGTATTGAAGCTCATTTATACAGAACTTCAGAACAAAATCACACAAACAAAAAATTGGTACAAATGCACAGAATAATAATCAATCACTCATAGTATGTTCGATTCTAAAGGCACGAATGAGATATTACCACTTTGAAGGTTTGAAGGGCCACTTTCGAATACTGTCGAATCCCGTGAGTATTCCACTTCCAAGCTACAAATATCTATTAACCATAAGAAAGCTTGGAATAACATATCACTATATAATTTAAAATTCAACTAAAAAATTCAAAAAGAAAGGTGAAGAAGATTAGAAAATAACCTGCCATGAGAGTGACAATGAGAGCTTCACTTTATCGATGAATGTATGCATCAAATCAATAAACACTTATTTAGAAATTGGATTTGAAACAAAGGAAAATTAGGGTTTCAAAAGAAATTTGGAATTTTTCAAATCTATAAGCATAACTGACAATTTTAAGGAAGAAGATGACTTACCCATGAGACTAAAGACCACCACCACGACTATAGGGTCTCCGGCACGGTGGTTCTGCTCCCATAAATTTTTTATAAACAAAAACATGCTTAAGAAATTTAAGCAAATGTCAAAAAACTATTTCAGAAGAATAGAATACCTTAAGAGAAAGTTGTTGCAAAGGAAGATGAGAGAAAGAACACTGAATTTGCTTTGTGCGTTATGGTATAGATTCGGTTTTGGAAGAAACGTTGGAAGGGGGTTTTCGATTTAATGGTTGTGTGGGAGTGAAGATGAAAGTCAATTTTGTTGATGTTTCACGGCTGAACCATGCATGAAAGGTTGTTCTTGTTGTTGTTGTTGATGTTTCAGATGTGTCTCATAGTTTACATATACTCTCTCAGTTTGAAAATGATTGTCTCAAGTTTTCAACATTAATATATTTGAAGTAGCGTAGATAATAAAAAATAATGATACAATTGGAAAACCATCAATCATTATTATATCGAAAAGTGGAAATGAGAGTCGATTTAAAACAAAATTTATTTATTAAGATGTAATTAACATATTTATCTATTTCTATATTATTTAATATTTGTTATTTTTAAATTTTCAAAATTATAAATAATTTTTTTATAATATTCTTAAAAAGTTTAATAAATTTTCAAAAAAAAAAAGGATGAAAATAAAATTTTCAACAGTAATATTTATAAAAATAACATTCTTCAAATTTTAATTTTAATTTCATCATATTTAATCTCTATCTTTCGTACCGCCCTAAACTCTTAAATAATTAAATATTTTATTTGGCAAATTTTCAATATTTTATTGAACATTTAAAAATAAAGTTTTTAAATTATAATTGTTTTTTATTAAATCTAGCGTCAATCACTATTAAACTAATTAATTATTAAAATTTAAATTTTTATTTAACCATAATTAAATTAACTTTTACAAATTTAAAAAAAAAAATATTTCAGCTTTTAGAAATCTTTTTTTGAATGCTGAATATAAATAAAGAAGACAGTTTTGTTAATTTTTAAAAGGTTTCAGTTACCACAATAGACGGTCAAATTAATCATGTCAAATTTTAAACATTTAAAAATAGTAATTTTTCAAATGTTAAAAATAAAAGCTTATTTAGTATTAATGTATTTTTTATGGAAGTGGGTGTAGAGATATCAGAGTTGAAGGGAGATTCCGCTCCATGGTGCTTGCTTTTCTACAATGGAGTTTGAAAGTGGGGGGTTGGGCTTCTCCTTTTAGGCCCGTTGTTCATATAATAAGAAAAGGTGGTGTATCCTATAAAAATTTCAAAATGTTATTTGAATTTTAAAAATTGGACGCGATTATTATACACTAAATCACTTCATCATCACCTTTATATTTGGGAATTTCTTATTTCACCTTATGGAGAAAAAAAAGATCTTATACAATTACTAAAATGTTCTTCCAAAACTGGAGATATATTTTCGGTGTACACCTTTTTTTAAAAGAATTGAAAATCGAAAGTATTTTTATGATTCTAAAACGGTAATATAGTTCTGATTTTAATGCTTCCTATAGCAGGAAAATCTTAGACAGAGAAATGTCAGTTTTTCTTGTTGTTTCACATTAAAGACAATAACTTGTAGCATTCATACAACGAAGACAATTGGAACAAAGCATATATATATATATATATATATATATATATATATATATATATATATATATATATATATATATATATATATATATATATATATATATATATATATATATATATATATATATATATATATATATATATATATATATATATATATATATATATATATATATATATATATATATATATATATATAGTATACACCACAAATAGGGATAACCCAAAAATATAATCCAAATACAATAATAAAAAAGTAAAATCAAAATACAAAATACATCATCAAATATTATTGAGTATGGCAGATTATGAGTCGACGTGTGACCCTGGAGGTGTCCCTCTGCTGCCTCCTGTATTGCAAAGCTCCCCGAGCCTCTGCCATGATGGCATCCAGAACACCTCTAACATTAGAGCCATCAAGAAACAAACCTTTGTCAATATTATCCCAGACAATCTCCATGATACGACGACACATAGGAAACACGTCAGTGGCATGATCGACCCTAGTCTGCTCCTCCTCTAGGATCTCCTGATGAACTGGCTTCAGTGGATTCCCTGGAGCATCATGTACCATGTATGGATGGGACACTCGGAAGACCATGTCATGTAAACATGCTCGTAGCTCCAATTGTCTGGTGCTACGGTACTCCTCGCCTCATCAGGAACAAGATGATTCTTAAAATCATCAAACAAAGCATCCATATCCCTTTGTTTCACCATCAAAGATCAAATACGACAGGATCCCGAGGACTGGTCTGGGTGATCCCGAACTGACGCATCACCCACTCTGGCAAATAAGCAGTCGTCTTACAACTCCCATAGGTCAACCAACCTGTGAACAATGCAACCTCGTCAAATGGTATCATGACACGATGGTCGGTGTATGAGAAGAAGTGTATATCCTCATGTATCAGGTGGTCAATGTAGACCCTGAACGACTCAGTCGTCTGGTTCCCTTGGAGCGGGTCGTATGTGCAGGCATGCGGCTTATCTTTTGTATAACCAATAACAAGTGACCAACCTGAGATACGGGGGAAGTGTTGTAGGATCCATCCCTAAAATAAAAAAATTAAATAGTTAGTTCCATAATCAAAATAATTAACAAAAACCCATACAAGACCAAGAAGTCATATGGTCAGGAGTGACATATTGTCGGTGATCTGCCTCGTATTCCACTTAATTCCCTCATCCAACTTCTTATAGAAGTAAACAAGGAAGGTAGTCCCCCAGTTCCATTAGTGGATCGTCTCAAAGTCATGAAAGTACTGTAGGTACATGATATCGGTGTAAGTGGAACTAGTGTCCACAAAAATCTGGGTACCAACAAGATACAAAATGTATTACTCTCATGACAAACCTCCCGTGAATGGTAACCTGCTCGGGATCACCATCAACCTCCTATACACGCCTAATCTCATTCCTGAACACAGTACTCAAATAACTATACCTGATGTGGCACCCATGGGTTTTATCAATCTCTTTCATGGCACTCTCAGGGGTCACTCCCAACTGCTCAACCAACAAATCTAACGCCTCCTCCTTATCAATCCTCTCATGGTCCAAAAATGTCCCTCTAATCAGAAGATGGAGCAGACACACGACGTCGTCGAGTGTGATCGTCATCTCACCATGGGGTAGATGAAACGATGAAGTCTCATGGTGTCATCTCTCAACAAACGCGTTTATCATACCCCAGTTGACAATGTTGTATCCATATTGGGTCAAAAATTTCAAACCTGTCAGCAATAAAAGCTCATCAAACCATGGCTCAGCAGGGTGTACGAGCCTACTGATCTTCTGGCCATGGTTAATCACCTTCATTGTATCACGGTTCTGCATAAATATTTCGACGAATTTAATCAAAAATTTAATCAAAAATTCCAAATTCATAATAAAATTGATAATAAAAATGTAATAGAAATCAAAATTCATACATGACCGTCCCAGATATATCTAGCAAGATGGTCAAGGTAAAGAGGCAAAAGCGATAAATTAGTTGGCCTTCCTCCAAATTCCTGAGTCGCCATAGGTGCAACCTATACTGGTGGAGCTTGTGCCGATGGTGCCACAAGTGCAGGCTCAGGTACAACCCCAGATATATGGGATACTAAGGAGATGCCTCAGGTGTCGTATGGGACTGAGGCTATGATAGAGGCTGTAGATAGGCCTCTAGTGTCGCCTGAGAACCGAATGTCTCGCCCGCCTCAAATACACCTAGTGGAGAAGTGCGTTAGAGGGAGGACGGGGCGGAGACAGATGAATTGGATAATCTCACTTGCCACAGGAGAACGAGGTAGAAGGAGTAGAAGAATGGACACCAGAGGATAAAGGTGTAGGAGGTGCATCTAGTACGGCCTGGCCAGAGGCAGGAGGAGGCTGGGTTGCCTGACTCCTTTCTCTCTGCACAAAAGGCATTTTGCGCAACCCTGCCGAGTCTCAATCAAGATGGTCTCTCAGACATTAATCTTATAGAAGTACAAAAAAATGATAACTTAAGGAGTAGTGCACAAAACAAAGCTGAAAACATGTACAGACAAAAACCAGAAATGCACTTATGGTTTTGTTCTTACTAAAATCGGAGGTGCATTTCCAGTTCCTACTGCGATAACAGAGCAGCGTCAATGGCGTGCTCCCCCCCCCCCCCCAAATGATCTAAAAAACCATTGATCGTGAAAATTACTTTAGAAACACCTTTCTAATGATTCCTAATATTGATAACACACTACAAAATCCCAATTTCTAACCTAAATCACACATTTGAGTGGATTTTACATAAAATCTAAAAAGTTAAAAAAAAAACTTACTTGATTGAATGTGGTTGATTTTCCTTGATTGATTGTGGTTGGATGCTTGATTTAACTGATTCTTTATGATTTCTAACAAGTTTCTTTGCAAAATTCTTGATTTGGTGAAAATGAGTTTGAGTGAGTTTTTGAGTGTTTTGAGTTTTTGAATATTACTGTAATGGGAGGAGAAGAGGTAGGGTACCTTATTAGTGCATCCAGAAACCGGAAATATACTTACGATTTCAAACCATAGTAATATTTCCGGTTTGCACCCAACTCTTCATACGTATTTCATGTCTATCATGGTGCGAAATAGAAATTTAATTCCGGTTTTGGGGGGCATTTTAGGAAATTTACATGGTGCCTAAGAAAAGCATGGGGTGTGTGATACGGTGGGAGAACTGACTTGGTTGTTTTGCGTTTGATCGCAAATGTTGCGGTTAGCAAGAGTCGCCACCGACTTTTCTTTTATCCAAAAGGAAAGGTGAAAAAGCACAGGAAAGACCTTTGAGATTGTTTGAGTTCGGGAGATAGATTAAGAAAAGGGAAGGTATTAGCACCCTTTTCATCCATGGCTTTCCATGAGATCTTAGTTACTTGCTAGATCACTTGATTTTGTTTGAAAATGTGCTTTTGTGTGGTTTTTTTGAAAGTATTTTGTAAAGAGGCCGTTGTCTAGGAAAACTTTTGTAATAATTCTCGTTCGTAAGAATGTATACAAAGGTGTTGGTCTTTTGAAAAAAATTTCAAGTTTTGGAAGATGTTTTGGAAGTGTTGGTTTTTGTTTTGAAAATAGCAAGGATGTTTTTGTTTTGAAATGGAGAAATTATTTAGGAACATTCTACCTACTCAAAAGTCTTTCATGTTCATTTCCTCTTTCCTTTGACATTGTTATCTTACCATTGATTTGGTAAGTAACCCTATCTTTGGATGTAAACGGGGCAGGTGTGGGTCATCGTATAACCATGATTAGCAATGTTGCAAGGTATCTTAGCATTTTTCTTTAGGGACTAAGATCATTTTAAAAATGCAACATAGATAGCGTCATCGAGGGACTATGATCTTGTATTTTGTTTGTTTTTGCTAAGATACCTCACATGCATAATATGGCTATTTTGGTAAGACAACAAAGTGGGTTTACCCTAGGGGTGTTTGTGTGCAAGTGTATTGATTTTCATGTTTGATTTGTCTTTGATTATGTTTTCTATTGATTGGTTTTAGTCTTCCCATACAAAACCCCAATTACTAGCATTTGTATATAAAGCGATAAATTGCGGAATTTAAAATTACTATGCTATTACAATACTTAGGGGAGGGGTGTACAAATTACAACTGGGGAATATTGTAAGAATTTAAATCTAAATAAATATTACAACCATATTGAATTTTGAATAAATGTGCAAAAATAAAGATAAAAATGCAAGAATGTAAATATAAAGAAACATGATTTTTGTTAGTTTTTTATGAAAAGGATTTTTTGACCTAATTAAATAAAATAATTAGCTAAGAAAAATAAGGAAATTAAGATTAAAATAGTAAACTAAATTAATTGAAAGAAAATAAGTTTTTAGGCTTTTTTTGTGAATTTAATTAAACTAGTAAAATAAAAATAATTAAATAAAAATCATAAGTTCTAAATTGATTTTAATTTTACAAGAAAAATAATATAATAATATTTAAAATTAAATCATCTAAGTATTATTAAAAAAAAGGAATTATTTAGAGAAAATGTTTTTGTTCTTTTATTTTTGTAAAGAAAAATAAACTAAAAAAATAAATAATTAAATTATATATATTTTGGATTTTTGTGATTAATGAAAATAATAATAATAATAATAATAATAATAATATTAATGATAATATAAATAAAAGATAAAAAAAGTAAAAATAAAATAAAAATAAAAATAAAGTCAGAGGGGGTTAATAAGTGAAAAAAGGAGTATTGTAAGAAAAAAATCCAGGCCCAAACGCTGCAAAAAAGTGTCAAATGTGAGAAAATGTAAAAAAAAAAACACAAAAGGTCACGCTGGGGCTTGAACTCAGGACCTCATGGTGACAGGCACGCGCTTTAACCACTGGGTGGTGATACATCCGTTAACTTATGTCAAACCATAAATATATAACATAAATCTTGTCCTAAATATACTACATCTTCAACCTCCAGCCAGAAGCCTTGCAACTTGTTCATTTCTCAACCATTTGCAAAAATGTAAACATGAAAGTTGCTCCATTTTTCCATACGAATCCAACCATATAAATATCATGAACTATAAATCAAAGATGAATGAGAATTTTTGAAAGTACCAAATTCTGACCTAATTATTTTCAGAGATTCAATCCTAAAATCCTCCTAGCCCAATAAGTATAAATGAAATCTATGGACATGTACAACTTCTGGGCAATGATGTCTACATTTTATCTTTACAAATACAAGCCTAATAATGCCTAAGTAATAAGATGGAAGTTCAAGAAAAATACCTCAAAACTGGAAATCGTGAAATGCAAATGAGCTTGATTCAAGGTGCTGCAATGATCAGGTTAGCTTCCTCAAGTTCCCAAGAAGCTAATGCAATGGTTTGCTTGAGCAATGGATGACTGAAATGGCTTGGAGAAGTCAATGTGCAATGCTCAATTTTTGGTTATGGAGGATATGGTAAATGATGTTACAGTAATGAAACAGGGACAAGGATAGGTTACACTTGATGTAAGGAAGCTTTAGAAACTAAAAGGCCAAGTAACGCACGAGGGAAAAATGAGTTTGGTGTTCAAGGTCAGAAACTGTGCAACAATGGAGTTTTTGGGTAATTTATGATTTGAGAGAGTTTTAGTGTATTTCAGGGTGCTTAAGCTCGTCCTTAAGCTCACAAATAGTGCTTCTATTTATAAGCAACAAGTATGGAGGCTTATATCTAATCAGAATTCAAAATCACATGTTTAAGCTCAACATGTGATTTTTTGAGAAATCAAGTTTCAATGCTTTGTGTACTGGCTAAGATAGAGTGGTTATGCTTTAAACACACTTGCTTCTGACTTTGTAGATGGAGTGTGATCAGAGGGAATAAGTTAGAGGCTCAAGAATTGACTTTACACATAAAGCTTGCTTTTCTAAAATGGAAGTGTTCACTTTTGAAATGTGGATTGGATAAAGCTTAAATCACTTGGATTAAAGCTCAAAAGTTTGTGTAATCTATTAATGATGGATATATACACAAGTTAGAAGTCCTGCAAAGCAAGATTATGCAGCCTAATATTGAAATTGCATTTTTGTTCATCATGAAAATGACCTATAATTTTAGTTTGAAACCCTAACTTCTTCTCTTCGATTCTCCCTGCTCAAGAATGACCTCAAGGAGTTCTGGGAAATTTTGGAAAGCTTGTAATTTTCTATAAAACCCCTATTTGAATCACTTTTGAAAATTTCCCTTGAAACTATATGAAAAAGTGTCATGAAGTTAAGCCAAAATCCTTCCTAAACTAGGGCAAAATTTCACTAAGTGTTTAATTTCAAGACTATGACTTCATGAATTAATAACTTGAGATCCAAGAATTTTTAGGAGAAGTTGTATAAATAAATGTTGTAGATATCATGGAGATATACAACTTTCATGTTGAAAGTTTCTTTTGAATCATCTTGCATCATGGTGAAAAATTGGCTCAAAGTTGTGAAAAAACATGAAGTTTTCAACACTTAGAAAAATTTCTAAGTTTGAAAACTTTGACATTTCAAAATGAAATCTTGACTTTTTGATTTCTTGATGAATACGTTTCATATTTTTACATGTTTTGATGAATTGTGATCTTTGACACTTGATTTTGACCAAAAAGTCAAAGTTTGACTTTTCAGTATACAGTTGATCTTTGATTAGTTGACTGAAAATCAATTATCAATCGAATTGATCTTGAGAAATGTTTTGGATCATGCCATTAGGCCAAAATGATGCAATTTAAATCTTGAGATCATGCCTCAAACCAATTAACCATTTTCTAGGTCAAAAATCAGAAATTGCCTTTCCTCAGTCCAAACCCTAATTTTGACCATTTTGCCCTTTTGATGATTTGATAAAATTTCTTGAGGAATTGTGGTCCAAACTTGATCAAATGATACATATGAGTTTATAATGTTGATATGGATAAAAAATTATGAATTTTGACTGTAAATTGGCCACATATGACTTTTTCCCCAATACAACTAACTTTTAGGTCAACTGCTCAATTGATTGAACAAAAGTGTGATCCAAGGCTTGAAACTTGACATGAGTAATATTGGGGGTCCATAATGACCCATGAAAGTCATATGAGGCATTAAAAGTTCAATTATCCTTGTGCAATCTCAAACCCTAATTTTAGTCATCAGTGCTTAAGGAGGTGTCTTGAGTTGATCAACCCTAGTGCAGTCTTGAACCAAGAGAGATCTTTGTGAGAAAATATTTGATAAGTGAGAGGGAAAATTTTAAGGTAAAACAGTTGCCCATGTTCAATCTTCTTAAACCTGAAGAGTTAGATTGGAGGATTTGCCATTCGTGACTTAAAGGTGGAAGATGATTGGACACTAGAGTGCCCAGAAATTTGCACTCGAGGATGTGATGGTTGATGGTGTAGGAAATGGGCTTAAAGATGCCATTTGGAGAGGTGATGGAAAGTTGTTGGAGATGGGCTTACAGATGCCATCAAAAATGATTATTGGCAGGAATGGGAGAAGTGTCAGAATAAATCTCTGGTCGATTTATACTGAGATAGTGGATGTGTTGGGTTGAGTACCAGAATAATATCCATAAGTGGACTGTATCTAACTCATATCTAGACTGTATTTGAATGAGTTTCAGAATGACATCTGAATCTAGATCATATCTGAACTGTATTTGAAAGTTGAATCTGAATGAGTATTAGAATGGCATACGTGTCCGGAGCATATCTGAACTGTATCTGAAAGTTGAATCTGAATTATTATCAGAACAGCGTCCGTGTCTGGAGCGTATCTGAACTGTATATGAAAGCTGAATCTGAATGAGTATCAGAATGGCGTCCATGTCTGGAGCATATCTGAACTATATCTGAAAGCTGAATCTGAATGAGTATCAGGATGGCATCCGTATTTGGAGCGTATCTGAACTGTACATGAAATCTGAATTCGAATGAGTATCAGAATGACATCAGTGTCTAGAGCGTATCTGAAATGTATCTGAAAGCTGAATGAGGAGAAACCCACATAGGATTGCTTCAGCTGGTCGTGTAGATAATTTTCCTAGTTTGCTTCAGGTATTAATCTCTGACCCTTTTGTAAATTGTTGATGATAACCATCTGCTGATTGATCTTTCCTAAAGAGATGAAAGATTAGTTGTATGCAATGTCATGATGCATGAAATGCATTGTACAATGATGTTCTAAAAAAAAAGAATGAGATTATGTTGTATGTATTCGCGTTGTCAATGTTATGACGTATGTGTTATACCCCAAAATTTGCCCTTCCATTTTTCACTCAAGATATTATCCTAGGGTTACTCGAATACTTAATTTGGCTCAGAAGTTGATCAGACAGATTCTCTTCCTGAGCAATAAGTCAGCAATTAGGGCTTTGCATTTTCTCAAAGAAATTTGAGTCTTCAAGGTTTCAAATGGTCTTCATAGGTATTCATGTCTCCTCAAGGTTGTTTAAGTCAGTCTTCAAACCTCGCATTGCAAGTTTTCTCAATCAATGGGCCAGATAACTGAAAACGACTACGTTGACTTGAAAATCACCCTTTTGCGAGAACAAATTCAAAACGATCGTAACTTCTTCATTATTCAATATTTTTGAATGGTTTTTCTTGCGTATGATTCTCATTGATGCCATCTCAAATTTATCTTCACAAATCAAGAACTGATTACGCGTAGAAGATCACCAAATATTCGAATGCGTTGGAAGTCGCATCATGAATTTTGACCTAATTTCAAATAACAGTCGTCTGATTGCTAAGAATTGTGATTTC